CACTCCGCATACCCCCCCCCCCCCAGCAAACCTCCAACTCCGGCTTCTCACTTTCATTCTCTCTCATTAATGATCTCATTTCTCACTCTCCTTCCCTGAGGCCCAGAACGAGGTTAGCTCCGCAGTCTGACCTATAAACACTGCCATGGAAGCTGCAATGCTTACAGCGAAACACCTCTTTAACAGGGAAGGGTGGGGGGCGGGGGGTTGTCTCACCTTTATCTCAGCCAGAGGGCTATCAGATGCCAGATTTACTTCACTTTCAACAATCCTTTTCCTGGCAGAAATGTTTTCACGCCTCCCAGATTTCTTTTTTCCCCTAACAAGTCAGTAGAAACCTGCACTGCTTCAACACACTTTACTCACTCTTGGCATCAGCTTGTTGTTGTGTCCTGTGTGTATGTTGAAATGAGCATCAGCAGAGAAAGGAAAGAGCTGGGGTCTGAATTAAAAGATGTTAGTGGTAGGGCTGTCACTTTTTATTCAAATCTTCAGAATCAGAATCAGAATCAGCTTTACTGGCCAGGTGTGCTGGACATGAGGAATTTGACTCTGGTACAGTGGCTCTCAATGTGCACGTACATATCCCCATGCAAGGCAACAGCAAGGGGCAAGTAAACAATATACCAACATAAGGCTGTGTAGTATAACAAACATATAACACACCTGAGGACTCCCCTGCAGTCTCACTCTCTAAGTGAGGCACCAAAGTTAACGTTACTACAGACAAGTGGAGCAGTGTCTGAGTTACAGCCTCGCCTGACTGTCCTAGCCCTGCAGCATACTTGCCCTGAAGAAGACTGGTGGGTTGAAACATTGGCTACACACTCTAAACACATCACGTATGCTTTCAATGTGTGGCCGTTTTTTTGGGGAATGGAGATTTTTACTCATGGTACTTCCATGGCTCACATTTCAAAGATCAGCTCACCTCCCAAATTTAGGCAATGATGTTATCTGTGAAAAATGTTGGAATTTCAGAAATACAGTATCTCCCTACTCATATCAGTAATTTATGGGGCACATCAACAGAAAGCTGCAAATAAAGCTGTCTGAAGTTCAAAGTACTGAATAATGACCTCTGTAAGCAAAACGTGATAAAACTATATATTAATAGGCAGTGGTCCAAAACAATAAGCATGGCTAACATGTTAAATGAAGAGATGGAGGGCTTACCGGCAGACTGGATGGTCGCCCCTGCATGCTGTCTTCTTGACTGCTCTTGCTGGAAGCCATAGGCTGGCTGGATGGAGGAGCGCTGGACTGGGAGCTAAAAGAATCCTGGGAGAGTTCCTGATCAAGGGGCAAGAAAAATAACACAATTGGCTCCACACATGTATATAAAAAAAAAAAAAAGTCCCCAAGCATCTTGTTGTTGCTTTTGGGCTTTTTAAAAGTTGTCAGTGTGCTCTAAATACTCTTGGTATAGTTTACTACTGTTCTTACTATTCATTTAACAATTAACAGACAGAAGGCTGTTTAACTGCATAAATAATTAAACTTTAATTAAGCAACAAGTCGGCCTTAGATGGCTTACACTAATGGTTTATTCAAAACCTCATATAGCTGTTTCACAGTTAAAGGCTTACAAGTTATGGAAATTATTATTTAATATTCACCAATATCAAGTTTGATATATATCACACAAGGAGGCACCACTATGAAGCATCCACTTGTTTGCACTGTTGGATTCCCACAGTGTAAGTTACGCATGGACTTGATTTGCAGCACTGATAAAGTATAGCAAATGTAAAAAGCTTGTGTGAGCTCATGTATCTCTTGCTGCGAATATTAATGGAAACACAGATGGATCCAACATGACACATCACATTATAGTCTGATAACAGAGTTCAGTGTATTACCTGTGGAGGAGGTGGGAACCGCTGATATGGTGACTGCTGTTGCTGCTGTAAGGGAGGTGTCTGGGAGTAAGGAGATTGCTGACCCTGCTGACCATGACCTGGAGGTTGTTGGGCTTGAGGGGGTGGACCTCCTGGTTGTTGCTGTTGCTGCTGTTGTTGTGGGGGCCCTTGCTGCTGCTGTGGGGTTTGCTGCTGTGGTGGCTGCCCTGGTCCAGGGGGTTGCGGATAGCCAGGCTGGCCCTGAGGGCCCTGCTGACTTTGAGAACTCTGGCCTGGTTGCTGTTGAGGCTGCTGCTGAGGAGGGATGTAAGGTGGTTGTCCTGGCTGAGACTGTTGGGGCTGGTTATAGGGAGGCTGACCTGGTGAAGGGCCGTGGGGACCTTGGGAATGTTGGTAAGGGGGTCCTGGCTGCCCATGTTGGCCAGAAGGCTGTGGAGGGTGGCCCTGCTGGGGGTAGGCAGGTCCAGAGCTACCCTGCGGTTGGCCAGGGTATGGAGGCTGCTGCTGGCCAGGGTGAGGTGCGGGGCCGTGCTGACCATAGTAGCCCTGATTCTGTTGGCTGTAGCCACCTGGGCCCTGTTGTCCATAGGATGACATCTAGACATGAAAGCCGGAAGATTAGTTAGGACAACTATAGATCTCTTTTGAGGAAAAAAAAATAGATTCATGCTTAAATATAACCCAGCACAGTTGAATTGCCTGTGAACACAAATAGCTTTCTTCAGTAGAACTAAGATTTTACTGCAGGCTCACTTTCCTGAGCCCCTCAGTGGAATATCAATCCCTAACTGCATATAGTCACTGTGCACAGACAGAATCAGTCTTAAAGCTTTAAAACTGTATAAAAATAACTCATACTCATAACCCAGGCTTTTGTTACCATTCACTCACAGCAGAGTAATCACAGCATCTCTTCATCTTACTCAAAGATTAAAAAGGAAAGACAACTGTTGTCTCTCTGTAAGACAGAGCAGTGTGTGCCTCGGAATAAACTGATCAGTCAAAGTGCATAAGAAAATCTAAGTGTTGGAATTCAGGTGTGAATTGCTTTAAATTACTGCCATGAAAATAAAAATTGAGTTTTGACTTCATCTCCTTGAACTTCAATATGAGGGTTTTCATATTCTACCCAATCCTGTGCGCAGAAAGCCTTTCAATACAGCGTTTTCCTTTCATTACCCTCAAGGAGCATGAAAGGAGAAAGGGCTGACCTTGTGTGGAAGCACAGTAATAAAAAAAAAAAAGAAGAAGAAGATGAGGAGGAGGAAAAAAAAACCCAGGTGTTGTTTTGAGAGTGTTCTCAGCTACTCAACAATTCAAAAAAAAAATTGAGATAGTAAAGAACTGCCACGCACGTAAAACAACATGAAGTGGCTGTATTGTAACTGTCTGACAAAGGAAGGGAAGCCGTTTTCTTCTCTGCAGGGCACTTATCGAGTCCACGGTCAGACACCAGGCAGGCCAGTATGAGATAATCACACCACACAATGGGCACAAGACCACAGACAGCGGACGTGGAAGAAAAGGTTTCACTCTATGGGATTCCCTGCATGCACTTCTCTTTAAAGACACACTGCCTGGCTGTGAGAGTTCAAGAAAGGGTTTATTCCTAGCTATGAGTAAGTAGCTCTGGCAAACTGAAGGTTTGAAGCTACTTACTTGCCATTTTCAATTGGACAACACTAAGAATGTGCTGCTTACTGTGCCCATAGATACAACCTGAATTTCTCCAACTTTTATTTTCAAGCATGAAAATAAACTAGATGGTAAAAAACTGATGTGCCGCTCTTGTTGTCTGTTCCTCTTAGATCTTTTGTTCCTCGGCTCATTTGAGGTTTTAGGTCAAAGGGATGCTAAACGTTTATTTTGGTTGGACTCTTCATTAATTTTCGCCTATATACAGTAAATATACCTGTCAAACACAGACCTTTTGCTACTTGACTTCAATGAACAGTACATCATCCCTGGTCCTGCCAATCTGCTATATTAATTAATTATTAGACATTTTGAAATACATTTATTTCCGTCCTTGCCAAAACTTGTTGCTTTTCTTCATACAAATACTTTCATGTATGTTCATAAAACATAAAGCTACAACTGGTTAGCTTGACTTAGCGTAAAGACTGGAAACTGGGGGGGAAACAGATCCACCTACCAGCTCCTACAAAACCTAATAATTAAGATTAATTCAAGTGTAAAAACAACAATTTGAGGTTTAATGGCAAACTATTTTAGTAGTATCCTCTGATGTAGTCAGTTTAACCATTTCCCCACATTTCCAGTCTTCATTCCAAGCTAATATGATATTAAATATATATTATATTATATATATACTATATATTAGCTAATATGAAAGTGGTGGTGAACGTGTGTCTGTATAACTTTTAAGGACAATTTCTCCTTTATCTATCTTGATTTATCTGGAATCTAACCTTCCTTTTCGGACAGGTCTGACATATCTGGATCATGAGTTCTCAACATGAAGCAGTAATGTCTTGCAAACTCTCTCACACATTCAGTGAGACTGTTTTCTCCCTTTCATTTTAGTTTCACCTCATTTATATGTTTTATAAGCAACAGAAATGTGACTTGGGTCTGGTGATGCAAGTGTCTGTCCATCATTTCTTCAGCTCACCCAGTAGCACCACAGGTTTGGCAGTTCCTTTCAGTTCTCTGTTGTCCTGCCAATACTGGGCAATCAGTCTTATTCAAATTACAGATGTCAAAAGTGAGAAGGACAAATCCAATTCACTTTTTTTAATATTCCATCTTCCCAGCCCAAATAGTCAGTCGTCTTTACTATAGTTTCCACTTGAAAATAATGTGAAAAAAATGTTTTGCTCCTGTTTATCTGAGTCTACTTGGATAATGTCAGCAAGGTTTGTGATTTTGCAATTACTATCTCCTACAAGAACGTCTGATCAGCCTAATGATATGGTGAATACCCTACAAAGCTTAATCAATCATCTGGGTGGCATTGAGACCAGAGAATTTTGAATCTTAATCCCAGTCTGAACTTTTTATTAAAGGCATTCCACCTGGAATATACAAAGACTGTCTGAATCATAACATATTTATCCATTTCAAGCCAAGATGGATAAATGCAAAAATGGGTTTTACAAGGTTCCAATGAAGATGCACACAATGTAATCCAAATGATTAATTACTGACCTGCTGTCCATACTGCATGCCGCTTATCGTGCCAGGTGTTCGGCTCTGCATTCCCATAGGATACCTCTGAGGCCCAGGAGGTCCATAGCCCTGGCCTGGGTAAGAGCCTGCCTGCTGGGGTCCAGGTCCTGTGGGAGGCCCTTGTTGTTGCTGGGAGTAGGGACTAGGACCTCCATATGTCTGGCCACGCATTTTCCCTACCTGGTCCAGTGGACTTGGGGGCTGGAGGACACAGAAAATTTGCAGTATATATATATCAATGAGCTGAAACAGTGGATGAATAGAGTGGCAATTCTGGCATCAAAACTGGATGAAAAGATGTAACCTTAGACATGTAGTAAGTGTCTGTCATTTATTCATGGTTTTGGGGGTCATTGTTATAAAGTGTATACTGCCCTATTAAACTGTGCAGTCCCACACCCTAACAAGCTCTGTAATTATGCAAATTATATGATATTGACCAGGATCCAGTTATTTAACAGCAAGAGATGAAATCTGATCAAATATAGCCGGGAGTTATTTTGAACCTTTTAGTGGGTTTTCTTGAAAAAACACTACTTAGGAGTGAACACAAATGATGACTCTTCCATAGCAATGTGTCATGCAAGCATCATTCCATAAACCAGTCACAGTATAATCAAGCAAATACAAAACAAAAAGCAGGAGGGGGAGGAAAATACTGTAGTGGATTTACTTTCCTACTAGAAAGGGAAATTTTGGCTATGAATGAATGAATGAATGAGCTCACTATATCCGCCAGGAGCATTTCCCTGCCCAGGAGATCATTATGCCAGTGGGTGGGTACTGTTACAGCAGAGACGTCAGGGAGGGTTTCTATGAAAACAGACTTAAGTGGAAGTATCTGCGGTGGCTGGAGCTGGGCCCACCCCTCAGCTGGAGCCACGTCAGGATGCAGTCTGTGGTAGTGGTGTTTGTGGGGGCTGACCTTGGCCAGCTTGGATACAGAGGGATCCACATGGCCTGGCCAGGCAACATTACGG